AAAAAAAAAAAGATAAAATATACAAACCATACAGTTGAACCATTTAAAGTAACCTATGCAGGCTGGATATGGTGGCTCACACCTGTATTCTTAGCAGTTTGGGAGGTGGAAGTGGGAGGATTGCTTGAGCCCAGGAATTCGAGACCAGCCTGAGCAACATAGCAAGAACTTGTCTCTAAAAAAAAAAAAAAAGAAGAAGAAGAAAGGGGAAAATCAAGAAGAAAAATTAGCCATGGTGACACCCACCTATAGTTCCGAGCTACTTGGGAGGCTAAGGCAGGAGGATCACTTGAACCCAGGAGTTCAAAGCTGCAGTGAACTATGATCACACCACTGCACTCTAGCCTGGGTGACAGAATGAGACCTCCATCTCTAAAACTAATAACTTAAAAAAATAATTAAATAAAGTACGTAGGCAAGCAACAATCCATCTTCTGTCTCTATAGATTTGCCTATTCTAAGCATTGCATATAAATGGAATCATATTCTAAACATTACATATAAATGAAATCAAATGATGTGGTCCTTCATGACTGGCTTCTTTCACTTACCACATTCATTTGTCACTTTCGCATACCACACTTTGTTTATCTATTCATCAGTTCATAGGCATTTGAATTGCTTCCATTTTTGGTTATTATGAATAATATTGCTATGAACATTTATGTGCAAGTTTTTTTGTGGACATATGATTTCCTTTCTTGAAAAATGTGGATTTCTATTTCTTGATTTTCTCTTTTTTGGTTTATTTATTCTCTTATTTCTTACTGCGTTTTTAGAACTTTGCATGTCTGAAGATATCTATCTTTCTTTCTTTCTTTTAGAGATGGAGTCTCTCTCTATTACCCAGGCTGGAGTGCAGTGGCACAATTATAGCTCACTGCAACCTTGAGCTCCTGGGCTTAAGTGATCCTATTGTCTCAGCTTTTGAGGTGGCTGAGACTACAAGTGTGTGCCACCTGCCCTGGATAATTGTTTCGAAAAATTGTTTTAGCGACAGGGTCTCACTGTATTGCCCAGGCTTGAAGATAACTTCCTTTTACCCTCACACTTGATTGATAATTTGGTTAGATATAAAATTTTTAGGTTGTCTGAGAATTTTGAAGGCATTGCTCTCATTTGTATGTGACCAGGTTTGGATTTTAGGGATAATTTTTTGTTTGTATATTTTCACCTTCTCTAGCTTTTCTAGTGCTCTGAAATTTGACAATCATGTGCCTCAAAGCTCTATTTTCATCCATTATCATTGCCCAAATTCTGCTCTTTCCATCTGGAAATTTGTATCCTTCAACCTTGTACAGTTTTCATAAGTTATCTCTTTGATGTCTCCTTGTTTTCTTTGTTATACTTTTTCTAAAAATTATCTTTATTTGGATGTTGCTCCCTCTAAGCCAATCATCTGATTTGTTCTTTTTTTTTTTCTTGTCCTGTGTTCAGGTAGATATCTTCACCTTTTTCTTCCAACTTCTGTTGAGTTTTTCTGCCACCTTTAATTGTATCATCTATTTTTTTTTTTTTTTTTTTTTTTGAGACAGAGTCTCGCTTGTTGCCCAGGCTATAGTGAGTGCCGTGGCGTCAGCCTAGCTCACAACAACCTCAAACTCCTGGGCTCAAGTAATCCTTCTGCCTCAGCCTCCCGAGTAGCTGGGACTACAGGCATGTGCCACCATGCCCGGCTAATTTTTATATATATATATTAGTTGGCCAATTAATTTCTTTCTATTTATAGTAGAGACGGGGTCTTGCTCTTGCTCAGGCTGGTTACGAACTCCTGATCTCGAGCAATCCGCCCGCCTCGGCCTCCCAGAGTGCTAGGATTACAGGCGTGAGCCACCGCGCCCGGCCTGTATCATCTATTTTTAATTTTCATGAATATTTTCATTGGTTTGCTTTTTGTCTCATTTCTGTTTCATGGATGTAATTTTCTCTCATCTTAAGGATTTTTTAGAGTCAGGTTTATTGATGTATAATTTACATACAATAAAAATTGACTTATTTTAGTGTATAGTTCTGTTTGTTTTGATAGGTAACCACCACCATAGGCAAGGTATAGAACAGCCCTTTGGGAACTGTGACTATATTTCGTGTCAGTGTTTTTAGGGGGATGTGTATGTGTGTGTGTGTGTGCTTCTAGGATTGATCAGAATTTTCAAAGTATCTTCTGCACTCTTGCTTGCAGAGTGTAAGCCTGGCTGCAAGCCTCTGTGAGACAAGTGGTAGAAAGTTAGAGGTTTCAACATTTATTTTGTAAACTTTTATTTGATCACCCTGTTTAGGATATGTTTGTCTCACCCTTATGTGTACCTGGTATTTCCCATGTCAAGGACTCTGTTGTACATTTTCTTTAGAATAAAACTCCAGTTTTTTTTACTGGAATACAGAAGGGGATCTAGGCATATAACTGTGTTTTAAATGGATATTCAGTCTAGCTACTTGTTCTGAGAGTCACCTTTATCCCCATTTCTTGACTTCCTGGTATTGCCAATTCCTGAACTTTTGGGAGATTCTGCTTTTCACTGTTGCTGGTTGCTGATTTAGGATTTGGCTTTCTTAGATCTGGTAACTGTTAAGTCATTTACCACTTTTACTTTGCGATTTCCATACCTCATCTTTTCTTTTTCTTCTCTTTGTCCTCAAGGAACACACACACACACATATATATATGTATATTTTTTTTAAGAGACAAGGTCTTGCTCCATCAGCCAGGCTTGAGTTCAGTGGTGCAATCACAGCTCACTGTAATCTCCAACTCTACAACTCCAGGACTCAAGCAATCTTCCCACCTCAGCCTCCTGAGTAGCTGGGACTATAGGTGTACACCTCTTAGCCCAACTAATTTTTAAATATTTTTTTGTAGAGATGGGGTATTGTTATGTTGCCCAGGCTAGTCTTGAACTCCTGGTTTCAAGTGATCCCACTGGCCTCCCAAACTGCCTTTATTGTTAGTTTAATGGAGTTTCAGGGAAAGGTAGAAGTAATTGCGTATGTTTAATTCATTATCTTCAACTAAAAGATCCTTTTTCCTTAAAATTAAAAAGAAAAAAAGGCTTACATTGTGGCATTGTGGAAAAGACCCTTTATGATCTATTAACAGCTTCTGCCTACCTCTCTAGCCTCACTTCTCACTCTTCTGCAACTGGCCCTCAGCCTAAGCTGCAGCCACAAGTATCTACTTAAGAGATTGCCAAACAAACCATGCTGCTTCATGCCTTTCAGTTATGCACATGCTGTTTTCTCATTGTGCTGTTTGTCCTTTAAGACATTCCTTAGTTAAGCTTTGCTGAATCTTCTGGGTGCCCCTCTGTTAGTGCTTATTAAATTGTTGCAATTATTTATTTACTTTAAAAGGAAATCTCACCCTAGAGGTTTTTTGTGGTTTTTTTTGACAGCCTCCCTCTGTTGCCCAGGATAGAGTGCTATGGGGTCAGCCTAGCTCACAGCAACCTTAAACTCCTGGGCTCAGGCGATCCCCTGCCTCAGCCTCCTGAGTAGCTGGGACTACAGGCATGCACCACCATGGCCAGCTAATTTTTTCTTTTTTTAGTTGCCCAGCTAATTTTTTTTTTTTTTTTTAAGTAGAGATGGGTTCAGCTCTTGCTCAGGCTGGTCTCAAACACCTGACCTCAAGCAGTCGTCCTGCCTAGCCTTCCCAGAGTGCTAGGATTACAGGCATTAGCCACCAGGCCCAGTCAAACACTAGAGGTTTGTTTTTTTTATTATTCCAAGGAGAACACCAAACATACTTTATTAGCACAGGAAAGCAGCCATAACAAGACACAGCAAGCAGAAACGTACATTAGTCGTCAAGGAGTTAATGTTGCATACAAATACAGCTTTTCTTTCTTAACTTGAGTACAGGTAGAAGGGCTGTCCATGGATTAGCAGCAGGAAATCTTGAATACCCTAAATCATATTTTTGGAGAATTCAGAATATGCATTAGAAACACCTGTGGAGCTAGATGCAGTGGCACGTGCCTACTCTCAGCTACTGGGGAGGCTAAGGCAGGAGGATCTCTTGAACCCAGGAGTTTGAGACCAGCCTGGGTAACATAGTGAGACCCACATCTCAAGAAGAGAAAGAGAGAGGGAGAGACTTGTGGAGCTTTTAAAAGATATAATTGTTTGGGGCTCCAGTCCAGAGAGATTTGCTGAGTTATAGTCTCTGATATTAGGGCCCAGTAAGATGCATTTTCAAAAGCTTCTTAATGATTCTTTAGAATAGTATCTCTGAGCATCATCTACATTAACTTAAGGGCCTGGCATATAGTGTATGCTTAGTGGATTTTTAAAGAACAAGGGAGGAAACATGTTCAGGGCACAACCTAAAATGATTCCTGTGTGAAACCAGAGTACAAGTGGGGAAATCACCAATTTTCTCTTTTATGTAAAGGAAGTCATAGCATCTGATTCCACCACCAACTCCTCTTTGGATATAATCAGAAAAATAGGAGTGCCTGGATTATGTTTTCAAAGGTAGAGGGAAGGTTTGGAGAGCTATGTGCACGAATGAAAGAAACATGTAAGGATTAGGCATAGGACAAATCAGATAGATGTCTGATTTTGGTTCCTCTGGCTGCTTGGTGTTATATTTGACCCAGTGATTTGGTTACAAAATTTTAGACTTCTATATATTTGGATGCCATAAATAACACTACTTTATATACCTGCTTCCACAACCTGTGCATTTAATAAATGGCTAGTGATATGGAAAATGGGGAGATTGACATGTTGCTCTGTCAAAAATTCATACATTTTATTGTTAATGTATGCAACTAAAGAATGAGAACACACAGAGCCCTAGTTTTCTGAAGTTTCCTGGCTTGTGTTTCCTCTTTGTTTAAGGTTTTTAAAAATGTATAAATTAGAACTATGTCTTCTGCTTTACTCATAACCCTCTTTTACATAGCATGGTGCTATTGTTGTATGTTATGTGTATGTTAGAGAAATGATTAAGCTCTTTTACTTTTTGTATTTTCTATTCCTTTCATTTTATTTTCTAGGTATTTAAGAGATTATGGCATCTGAAACCCACAATGTTAAAAAACGGAACTTTTGTGATAATATTGAGGATCATTCTACTGATCTTCCTAGAAAAAGGATCTCTAATTTCACTAATAAGAACATGAAGGAGGTAAGTCCATGGTTTCTAGGTAACAGGTACGACATTTTAAACTGTCTGGTATACTATAGATAGCTCTGATTAAATTGTTTACACAGTGGGAGGATAATAATTCTGCTTAATCTCCCAGAATTATGTAGAATTTATAAAGTATGACCATTATATTCCTAAAGCAGTAAAAACTTTTTAGCCAGTATACTGTTTTGTTTGTTTTGTTTTGTTTTGTTTTGAGACAGAGTCTCACTTTGTTGCCCAGGCTAGAGTGAGTGCGGAGGCATCAGCTTAGCTCACAGCAACCTCAAAATCCTGGGCTCAAGCAATCCTGCTGCTTCAGCCTCCCAAGTAGCTGGGACTACAGGCATGCGCCACCATGCCCGGCTAATTTTTTATATATATATTTTTAGTTAGCTCATTAATTTCTTTCTATTTATAGTAGAGACGGGGTCTTGCTCTTCCTCAGGCTGGTCTTGAACTCCTGACCTCGAGCAATCCTCCCACCTCCGCCTCCCCGAGTGCTAGGATTACAGGCGTGGAGCCACCGTGCCCAGCCCAGTGTACTGTTTTGATTTGATATAGTTTGAATATTTTAGTTTATGAGGAATCACAGAGGTGCTTTTGGGTCATCTTTGTGAGACTCATTAGCGCTGATATAATTTCTTTTAAACTATATTAAAATTCAACTCATTAAACAGCATAGAAGTACAGTATAATATGTGTCTAGCAGCTTGGAAAATAGGGAGATGAGTATGTTGCTTTGCCAAAAATACCTAGGTACGATGTTGTACCTAATGATTGAAACTACAGCATTAGAACAGAGAAAACTGTAATCCAAAAAATGTACTTGTTGAATTGTAAATTTGTTGATATCAATCACAAAGTTTACATAACTCTAACTTGAATATGCTGCAACGACCTACTTTCATTTTTCAGGTTAAGAAATCTCCAAAACAGTTGGCTGCTTACAAAAATAGGTAAGAACTTCTTTAAAGTTTGTGGGGAAGTGCAAATATCGAAATAAGGATGAAAGTAAGGAGAAAAATAAATATTCTTTTTTATTAAAATAATGATTAACTTTATCATCAAACAGCTCCTTTGTGCCAGGCTCTGTGCTAATAAACACATCAATATTATCTCTGTTCCTTACAGCAGTCCTACTTGATAGGTATTATGACCCCTAACAGTTGATGAGAAAACTAAAGATCAGAGAAGTTAAGTGATTTGTTCAGGATCATACAGCCAGAAAGTGGTAAAGATGTCATTCATTATCAGATCTGCCAAACTCTAAAGGCACGTTCTACAAAACCACACGTTCTCACAGTGTGATCTGAAGGCTTAGGAAGTCCCTGAAGACCTTTCAGGGAATTTGTGAGGTCACAACTATTTTCATAATAATACTAAGACATTATTCACCATCTTCATTTTCACTGTCTTGCAAGTAAGTGTACAATACAGTTTTCCAGAGGCTATATAATATTTGATATCACAATAACTGGATGGAGAACGAGAATTCACTGTCTTCTGTTAAACCAGATTATTTTAGAAAATACGGGTTTTTTGATAAAATATTCTAGGTTAATTTGTAATGAGTCATTACTTTTGAAATGAATTAACAAGTATTTTAAAATTTTCTCAGTTTTAGTTTCTGACCCAGTAAACATCAATAGATATTACCAACATAAATAATTCTTTGGGACATTAATAATTTTTATGAGAGCAGACCAGGTGCAATGGCTCATACTTGTAATCCCAGCACTTCGAGAGGCCAAGGTTAGAGGATCATTTGAAGTCAGTATTTCGAGACCAGCCTGGACAATATACTGAGACCCCATCTCTACAAAAAGTATAAAAAAATTAGCCAGGCATGGTAGCACATGTCTGTAGGTAGTGCCAGGTTTTTTGGGAGGTGGAGGCAGGGGAATTGCATGAGCCCAGGAGTCAGAGGCAGAAGTAAGCTATGCTGTGCCACAGCACTCCAGCCTGGGTTTGACAGTGAGACCCTGCTTCTAAAAAGGAAAAAAAAAAAAAAATTAAGAGGGCAATGCATCCTGATAACAAAACATTTGAGAACCACTTTACTTAATCATGAGATTTGCTCTATTGTGTTCTGTCTTATACAAAATTAAATATACTTCAGTTTGTTTATTTGTTTGTTTGTTTATTTATTTATTTATTTATTTATTTATTTATTTATTTATTTATTTATTTATTGAGACAGAGTCTTGCTTTGTTGCCCAGGCTAGAGTGAGTTGCCATGGCATCAGCCTAGCTCACGGCAACCTCAAACTCCTGGGCTCCTGCCTCAGCCTCCCGAATAGCTGGGACTATAGGCATGTCCTACCATGCCCAGCTAATTTTTTCTCTATATATTAGTTGGCCAATTAATTTCTTTCTGTTTATAGTAGAGACGGAGTCTTGATCAGGCTGGTTTCGAACTCCTGACCTAGAGCAATCCGCCCGCCTCGGCCTCCCATAGTGCTAGGATTACAGGCGTGAGCCACCGCGCCCGGCCTATACTTCAGTTTAATTAAACTAACTTTAAAATATTCAAACTTATACAGTCTATCACTTTGTTAGAAAAAGATTAGGTGTCTAGAAGGTATTATAATTTTCTTATTCCCACAATGGCCTTTAATATTTTATTTTAAAGCCATGGATTTACTATGTCTCTTTATTTGATATAAAGTGTCATCCTTTTCATTGTTTTGCAGATAATTTATTTCCTTTTTATTTTCCTCTTCAAGCTAAGAGTTAAGTTTTTGTTTTAATTATTCTGTTTACCTCTAATTTTAGTGGACTGGGATCACAAAATGTGGTCTATTAATTCTCTGTTTAAATGCTTTAGAGGTTTTCATATGGTTCTTTTTCATTTAGGAAAATAAATTCTTTTTACAGAACAGTTGGACAAGCTGTGAAAAGCCCGGATAAACTGCATAAGGTGATCTATCACAGAAAGAAGGTTCATCATCCCTTTCCAAATCCTTGTTACAGAAAAAAACAGTCCCCTCGAAGTGGGGGCTGTGACATGGCAAATAAAGAAAATGAACTGGCTTGTGCAGGCCACTTGCCTGAAAAATTACGCCATGATAGTCGAACATATTTGATTAACTCCAGTGATTCTAGTTCTTCACAAACAGAAAGTCCATCATCAAAATATAGTGGGTTTTTTTCTGAGGTAAGTTATTTCTCTGTCATTTCTAGCTTAACTTTGTTCTTGTTATACTATTGTGTGTGTGTGTGTGTGTGTGTGTGTGTTTTTTTTTTTTTTTTTGTCTTTGCCATATTCTAGTTTACCACCCATTGAATACAGACTTATTTAAGTGCCATTCGGTCACTAAACATGAAATAGTAACTCCCTGAAACAATTTTCTAGATTAACCACATCTGTATCAGTAATTTATTCCATTTCCCTAAATTGGCAGTATCTAAGATGGAATGAAATACTCAATAGGCTGCTATAAATATCCAGAATGATAAATTGGCTAGTACAGATTTAAAGGAAGGGAAAAGGAGGCTGGGTGTAGTGGTTCATGCCTGTAATCCTAGTACTTTGGGAGACCAGGGCGGAGGTTCGCTTGCCACCAAGAGTTCTAGACCAGCCTGGGCAATAGTAAGACCCCATCTTACAAAAATTTAAAAAAATTAGCCCTGTGTGGTGACACATGCCTGTGCTCCGAGCCATTCAGGAGGCTGAGGCAGGAGGATTGCTTGAGCCCAGGAATTTGAGGTTGCAATGAGCTATGACCATGCCGCTGTACCCTAGCCTGGGTGACAGAGCGAAGCTCGAGTGTGCGTTTGCGCTTGCTCGCTCGCTGTCTGTCTCTCAGACACACACACACACCACCACCACCAAAAATAAAGAAGTCTTGCCTAAAAAGTAGGCCAGTTATCCAGGCATATATTTTGCTAGACTCTCTAAATCGCCTAGTAGAAGATTTGCTTAGGCAAACCTGTATGACTTATTGCCCTTCTGGCTCAAGCATAATTGGTTGTTTTAACAGGCTCAAGGGAATTTTGAGGGGTGATAGAAATATTCCCAAACTGGATTGTGGTGATGATTGCCCAACTCTATAAATCTAAGAACTGTTGAATTATGTACTTTAAACTGTTGAATTATGAATTTTAAGGCATGTAAATTATAGCTCAATAAAGTAGTTTTTATAAAAATGGTCATTTGAAGGAATGGTTGATAAAATTTATAAGTACACATGAGTTTATAATAATAAACATGCTAGGAGAAATGGAGGGAGTGAGTGGTATCTGTGAAAAAAGAGAAACGAGGAGAATTTTATTCAGTGGTGTATTATCGTGGGCCCTGGAAAATAGGATGATGACTAAACTCTAGTGTTAAAGAAAATCAATTGTCATACTAATTCTTTCACAAATATTGAGAGCACCTTACTGTTAATATTGCTATTTCCTAATCTAGAATGTCCTCTGCAGCCTCTGAGGAGAAATAGATTGGTGGGTGAAAAACAGACACTGCCCTTTCTTTCATGTAGTTATAGAAGTGATGAGGCCAACATTAATCAAATCGTCATACAAACTGTATACTCTGAAGGAAAAGAACATGTGACTATATAACCTAGAAATCTGACCTAGATTGGATCCTAGGTTGGTTCTTCCCTTGAACTGAGGGAATAAACTTCTGAGTGCAAGTGCCTTAAAAAAATATAAAAGTTTCAATTGTGCATTTGAATCACAGCCACTGTGAGATGTTTTTCTAAAGACCCTCCTTTTACTTTGCTTTCTCATTTTCACTACTTTTCACAAGCCTTCCTTAACCTCAGATTGGACTAATAGGTGTATTGATTGCTCTGTTGTTTCAAACCTGTTTTCCTAATTGACTAGCACCTGCTCTAAAAACCTAAATCTAAAAGTGATACCATATTATTTTATCCAAGTTCAAATGTACATAACCTTTGATCTGGCTGTTTCCATTGTAAAATCTTAACGAAAGTATTTAAATTTTTTTTAAAAAATGAAGTCGATCTATTTTGACATTGAAAAATGTTCATATAGGTGAAAAGGCAAGGTTTTAAACAATATATATAATTTAATTTTTAATTTTTCAGAGTGTTTATTTACATACCTAATTTGTCTTTGTCTAGAAAATGGTTTGGAAAGATACATACCAGTCTGTTGACTGTGATTACCTCTGGAGAGTGATATTGGATGTTTTTATGGGCAGGTAGAGAGTATTTGTTTTTTCTCTTATGTAGTTCTGTGTTATTTAAATATTTTATAACAGGGGAATAATACTTTATTATATAAAAATAGACACATTGAAGTGATACTATAACATCACAGAACTGTGTTTATAGTTCCCTTCTTATGCCATTTAGTTGGTAATGACTAGCTTCTATGTTTACCTTTTCCTTTTATCTACGTTCTAAATTAAGTCCTAGATTTGTGGGTCAGCTAAAAATAATTTAAAATTATTGGGATTTAAAAGAAAAATAGTAGCAAGCCAGAAAAAGTATTGGTAAAAATTAAACAGGTCCTAAATTTGTTCAGATCATTTGTTTAATATGTTCAACTATGATATTCCTTTTTGTGGGCCAGTAAAGGAGTCACCTTTGCATAATTTAAAACTATGTCTACCAGAATGATTTATGAAAAAAATAGTTTCATATACTGTTTCAATGTGCTTTTTAACAAATTAGATTATTGCCTTTCAGGTTTCTCAGGACCATGAAACAATGGCTCAAGTTTTGTTCAGTAGGAATTTGAGATTGAATGTAGCTTTAACTTTCTGGAGAAAGAGAAGTATAAGTGAACTTGTAGCTTACTTGGTGAGGTAAGTGTGACCTTTTATGTTCTTTGTTCAATAAAAGTAATTTTCAGTGAGATATTAGAAGTGCCTCTTCTTTTTTTATGTTATTACTAACTAAAATTTTAAACTTCTTATGTTTAGCTTCAATAGAGACAATATGGTTTAAATTACATCCATCACTAGTCTAAGAATAACCAAAATACAGAAAAACTATCTGTTTTATCAGATTGAGTAAAGCTGTTATCTTTTCTGATTAAGATTCTTATCTGTAAAACTAAGAGATACTGATATAGGAAAACTAACCTTTTAAAAAATCCCCTTTGAGTGGGAATTTTAAGCATAACTTTCCTCATTGTATTCAAGTCTATCAAATGTTACCTTAGTTGAGGCCTTCCTTGACTACCTTATTTAAAAATACTTATTTCCTCATTCCCTATCTCCCTTTGCTGTTTTAGTTTTCTTCATAGCACTCTTCATCAATCTACTCTGTATATTTTACTTGTTTGTTTATTGTCTGTCTCTGCTCCATTGACACACCTATACTCACACGTTGGAATGCAAGTCCTATCTCTTTGTTCACTGCTCTATCCCCAGCAATTGACTCATCATAGACACTGAAATTATTTGTTAGATTAATGAATTTCTCAAAAGCAGTGTGAAGATTATAAATGTGAAAGTAAATTTGAAATAATCAGTTCTGTGAGGAATGCTGTTCTTTTTGTACTCACAGGATAGAAGATCTTGGAGTTGTGGTAGATTGCCTTCCTGTGCTCACTAATAGGTAAAAACAATGTTTTTCAGAAAAAAAGTCAGTTTAAAGAAGGTCAAATTGTGGCCTGTTCATATTTTTATGACTTAGTACTTTCTTTATGTTAGTTTACAGGAAGAAAAACAATACATCTCACTTGGCTGCTGTGTAGACTTGTTGCCTCTAGTAAAGTCACTACTTAAAAGCAAATTTGAAGAGTAAGTGTGAATCTGAATCTTGATTCATTTTTCTTTTTCAGCATCCTTGATTTTGTGTTTTGTGAGTACATAATGATAGACTAGGCTCTATGAGACATACATGGTTTTATATTTTAAAGAGCTTTTATTACAGAAATTAGGAAAAGAATATGAAGTGACTAAAGAACAGTTACAAAAGCATCTATAAACGAGTTTTATGAAATAGAATTTTGATCATGAAATAGTGAACTAAATTTTTAAAAAGGGAAAGATCAATATTTATATGTATTTGGGAGGAGGGAGAGACTATCATCTTTTGTAAAGATTTCTTAGATGAAAACACTTGAATTCTGTAACAAAATGTCATTTCAGATATGTAATAGTTGGTTTAAACTGGCTGCAAGCAGTCATAAAAAGGTGGTGGTCAGAGCTATCATCCAAAACAGAAATTATAAATGATGGGTGAGTACACCTTTAAAGATAAACTCATACTGAAATATTTCTCAGAAAAGCAGCTTGATTAAATTAGGCAACAATTTTATTCCATGATCATTAGTATATAATATTTATTCTCTTCATTTTCAGAGAGATATTAATCATTTGTGAAAAACACACACAGAAGTTAAATTGCATAGCCTACGAACCTCTGTATCTCTTCTTCTGGTAGAATCGTTCCCTTCATTTTAGGAGGAAAAAGCACAACAGTGGGTTAGCCCTTATATCCATTATATAAGTAAGGGAGGGGAAAAGAGATACCCTTAGTGGAATAAGGAATGGAAGCATCCTGCAGGGTCTTCGGCTACCTGGACATTAACTTGAGTGTCCAATGTTGATGACTATAATTCTAAAAACCATAATAACCATAATTTGAGATTTGCCTTGATGTGAAAATCTGTGAGTTTTCTACCAGAGTAGCCAGATGATCATGTTGCCACACGCAAAAAATCTCCCAATAGTCTCCTGAAAGTCCATAATTTTCTTTCTAGACTCTCAAAATTTTCTGCTTCATACCCAAGAACAGGTTGTACACATGCTTCAGATGCCTAGTTGTTTTCTTACTTGCTTTGACAACTACATAACCTTTCATTTTCATGTTTGACATGTATCATTTTAAACGGTTGCTTGACTTTAAATAACAGTTTTCTCCTGATTTATACTTGAAAATTTCAAAATTTCATTAAATATATTTACTACCAAAATCTATATCCTACTATATTTGCTTTCTCATTTTTCTTCTTTTTTTCTCCTAGAAATATTCAGATTTTAAAACAACAATTAAGTGGATTATGGGAACAGGAAAACCATCTTACTTTGGTTCCAGGATATACTGGTAATATAGCTAAGGTAATTATATTTAAGCTTAAAAATTAGACATTGAAAATTTGAAAAAATAGTATTATACATTTATAAATGAATTTTTTTGTACTGTTCTAATAAGGTCTAAAGTCAATTTCATATGTGCAAATGCTTAAGGTCCTCTGGGTATGGCCATAACCTTGGCAAAGATATTAGCCATTGAACATGTTTCATATACAGCCACAGAAATGCCATGCTGGGGATATTTAATGAGAGTTTAAGTCAGAGAAAAATATTTTAGACAAAGATTAAGAATCCAGTTAGGACAGCATCAGAAAATAAGAAAATGAGGAACTCAGGAAATAAGAAATGAGAAACACAATCAACTGGTTCTGGAGTATTAATTTTTACCTTGCTTTTGCTAATGTCATGCTTTTTGAGAATATAAAGTGTTTAAATCACAGAATGAATTTGACATTGGTCTTTATTGATATACTTATAGCTTAAAGGAAAAGGTATATTTCTAGTTTGGATTTTAGTATTTAAACTCCTGAAGACATTGGTAGCTTAAATATAATGGCAGGAAAAAAAATGTTAAGAAATATTTTCACCCTTATTACTGGGCACACTGCTATCATAAATGGGCATTAGCCAGGAATAAGAAAACCTTCTTTGATTTAAAAAAATATAATATTCCAGTTTTAGTAGGGAGGCTTAAAGAACATACTCAACTTTTCCCATAAAGACATGTTATCAAACCTTTTATCGAGTGGCGGGCAGGTGGGAGGGGGAGGAGGGGAGGGGGTATATTTATATAATGGGTGTGGTGTGCACCAACTAGGGCCAGACACGCTTGAAGCGCTGGCACAGAGGGGAGGAGGGGTGGCAGGGGCAATATATGTAACCCCAACAATATCTGTACCCCCATAATATAATGAAATAAAAAAATATATATATATATAATATTCTAAATAAGAGGGTTTATGTCACAGACTTACTTGTAAAGTTCTTCTTGGATTCCTTCAAAAAAAGAAGCAAAATGTGTTACCATTGTATGATTTTACTCCATAGAATTCTTAATGATAAGAATCTTAAAAACAGAAATGAATTTCATGGAAATTTTTTGTTGTTTAGGTTTTTAGAGCATACATTACATGCCACCTTGCTCTGGAGGGGTCTTGTATTCTGGATAGTAGTACTGAAGAAATGATTATTTCTTTAGCAATTTGCTTTCAATTATAATTTTTTACAAAGGGAGAAACTTTATTGTGAAAATGACCGTAAAGTACTATTTATTATTGAAAACGATATTGAGTGATTAAAAGTTCAATGTGAACTTTTGTAAGCTATGATAAAACCTCTTTTATAATATTGAACCCTCAATTTGTAATTTTTCTGAGGGAAGAAATCAGAGAGGCAATCATCAAGCTGACCTTGAGTTTATGTAACACTGATAGAATTGCTATGAATGTTAGTATAAAAGCAGAGTTGTTTGAGCACAGGAACCAAAATATTCACTCAGTACTTAGTAAACCTTTATTGATCACATGCTATGTGCTCTAGGCCCTGTGCTGAACAAATGGAGATTAACAAAACAACAACAACTGAGTAAGACACATCTTTTACAAAGGGAAAGTAAGGCAAATCAAACAACAAAAAGGGTAAAGAAAATGGGTTGTGCATATGTGTATTTACTATACTGACTAATGAAATGTTTTTGTTTTATCCTTTAAGGATGTAGATGCTTATTTATTACAGTTGCATTGAGAGATTTCATCTTACGAAAGACCACTTGGTTGTTCAAAACAGCCCTGGACTATGATTTATAAAAAAAAGGTCTCCTCTGAGAACTGTGAACTGTGGAAGAAATCAAAACCATTTTTCCTTTTAAAAAGCCACATATTGAAACCACTAATAAAACCCTAACAATCTACTTCACATTGAAGTGGAAAAATATCCAAAAGGAGCAGCTTCAACTTCAATGAGGTGAAAGTGCACTATGAAGATTGTTCACCTTTGCTGCATTTGGGATTTATATGGTTATGCGGTAACATTGTTTAAGAGCTACTGGGTCTTAATGCAATCCTGCACAAGAATATAATTTATACTATGTGAAAAAATAAGACAGGACTTACTACTAGGAACAGCAAAGACCAATCATCATTCACTTTTTCTAAGATTGTGTTTTATAAAAAAGCACATAAATGTGTGCAGCTATTTTCTTATGTTGAAAAGACTGAAAGTTAAAAACATCATAGCAGAAAACAATATTAAAAATTTTTGTCCACACTGAGATACTGTGTATACAAAATGCCTTAATTATTAATAAGCCAATGTGTTATGATACCAATATCTGTTTAAAAAATTAAAACCAACGATGCTTCTGGCATGATAAAATCATGGAATTAAATCAGGGGCTTACATTCATGGTAGAATGTTGAAACACATTCTACACCATTTTTGAAACTTGAGAATATTTTTAGTATCTCAGATTTTTTTTTCCAGAATCATCATGTCACATGTATGTGTTATCTGTATCTAAAAAAAAGGTGAATATGTATGAATGTTTAACTGGATATGTCCATGGACTTGGCTAATTTATATTCACTTTTTATTGTATATAGATTTCTAATATTTTTCATTTCTGTATCATTTAAACTTTTCATTTGAGTAAATTCACTAAATATTTCTATTTTTTTGCTTTTTTAATTCTGATTTTATATGAATTCTAATTCTTTTTCACTACATTGTTTTAAAAAGAGTTACATACAATGCGTTAGACTTGTTTACAGTTAATGCTGACCTTGTATTTTAAATTCCAACACTTTACATCACTACCTCTTCTAATGGTTAGTATGACATGCCAGCAGACTGTATGAGGTCTTTTTTTAAATACCATTTTTGGTGTCAATGAACCTAATTCTGAAATGTCTTAATAGCTCTAAATCTTACTTCTTTTGAAAATGACTGGAGTTTAATACCACTACTGGTGGCTCATACATCATCTCATCCTTAATACGCCTGACAGGTATCTGAGCAAAGATTTTTAGTAATTGAATTTCTCTGCAGTATTCCTTCAAGCACTTGAATGTAAATCTTTAGCATTTACCCTTTTAGTGACTACTGATAAGAATCTCAAAGCATATTTCTTGCTTTAAAAATGTTCTTTCACTGAGTTCTATTCTTATGTAGCTATATTTCATTATAGCTATGTATTCACAGAGAACATAAATTGTAATAATTGGTTATTTTCTTAAATCTTTAGAATAATTTCAGATTACTGCATTTCTGTGATTTGAGAGTTGAGTTATTAAGAAGTCATTTTTCAGAACATGGGAATTTGAATTGTAAACCTATGCCATCTCTGAAACCTTAAGATGATGAAATATAACCCTTTGTTCCTATTTCTTTAACTATCTAACAGTTTAAACTGGTTAACTTGATTGGAGTATGGTGGTAATGAAGCTAAGGACAGAAGTTTGATCTTTTCATAGGTTCATTAACTTTACACACAAAATAGTTTTGTGGCTACAGATTGTACCTCCCCTCAGGTATCAATCTCACAAATTCAGCTTTCAGTCATAAGGAAGATGCCGTATATAGCTTAGAATAAACTCTTCACTTCAAATGGAATGGTTACTCAAATAATTGGTATATGTGGTCCTCTATACTTTAATATTTAAAATAATATATTCAAAATAAGATATCTAAAATACTATATAATTTTTAGTTTGACCAGTATTAAATAATACTGGATCAGAGATTTTCTGTATGTGACCCAGATATTTCTCTGGGTCACATCATTGACCTAAACTGTATCAAAAATTAAACTTCAACTCAATAAATCAAACTTCATTAGAAATTAAGTATAAATACAAATGAAATATGGAAAGGTATTATCCTGGTAACAATGACTCCTTATGCCTAGATTTAGGTTTGTTGAAGGTGACTAGATAACACTCCACTTTATATACTCAGAGCTGTAAGGCAGCAGAGTTTTTAGCTTATAAAGATTATTCAGTAGCACACGCTCCTAATTTCTGTTCTTTGGCCTTTGCAGTTTACCTTAGTACCTACCTCTCTCAGTTGTGATTAGTATTAGATGTGATTAGTATTAGATGATTCTAAGGTTCTTGGATAATAGATGTTAGATAAATAAATATCATCGAACACTACTGTTACTATTAAGCTCTTCTCATGCCACAGCATTTTAATTTGAACAGTGTTGATCCCTAGAAAGAGCTAAAGAAAGTGTTTGCAAAGTATTTTGGTTGTTGTATTGACCTAGATTAAGACAATCTCTGTCATTGTTCATTTGTTGCTGTGCTGCTAAGCAGCATACAGAACTAAGGGACTATACCCAAAGTGTCCATGCCCTTGTAGCTCTTCTACCTTCTTAGGTCTTCTGTACTTGACTTTGCTAACTTTGCAAGTTTAGGTGCAAGTATTTTATTGAGGCAATAGAGGGTTATAATCAAATAATTTGCTTCTACTAGGGATAAAGTGAATTAATTATGTAAAGAGTGATCATGGTCAGAATAAGGGGTTGAAAGTTAGGAAGCAAGTATTATCAGGGTTTTTAAAATTTTCTGGCAGTAATTTCAAAGGTAGTTGGCACCAATTATTTACATGAATCCTGAGATGTGAGAATTAGGTATAAGTATCTATATCCATTTTGGGAAATCATAAAAACCAGTACTGAACTCTAAGGGCTACTGACAAATTATATCCTAATGCCTCTAAATATACTTGGTACATGTCATATCCTAACCTTAAACAAGGTAGTGTGAGTTCAAAGCTAGATTTCTGGCTTTTGAATCAGTAGTTTTCTTGAATGTAGAACATTTCTGTATTTTGCCAAGTTGTTGATATACTTAACAACAAATGGATAACTAATTGGAGTGATGATTATTAGTTATTGATTGCCGATAATAGAGATCATATTTAAATACATAGTTACTTAAGTCTGAAAAGGCAAGATTTAAGTTAATATTTCATTAGTCATTCCCACTTATCTTTATTCTTATTTAAGAATAAGATGGTAATGTCATTTGCCTTTGTTTATTTAAAGAAAAAAATTAAATTAGAATTATAAGCAGCTGACACAACTGGAGTGGTCTATTTGGATACACTAATTCTTATCTTTCAATCCAGACTTTTATTTTCTGGATTACCTTAGATGGAAATAGTATTGCTGGACATACATTGGTAGGTATTTACTCCTATATTATTATTTCTCCCTTGATTTCTAATTCTTCTAGCTATGAAAATTGTCATAAAACTTTGTGGCACACTATACCTCCTCCTTTTTTATTATGTAACAGGAGTATAGAATAAAAAGTTCATCCCTGAACATTGTATGCTTCCATTTGTAATACAGCTTGATTGATTCAGTGATAGCACCAACTATAACAATGAAAGTAAATACTACATATCATAAACCAATATACTGAGTATGTTTCCAATGCTGTATTTGAAATAACATATTTAAAATACTATAATCATTGTAATTTTTTCTGGGTCAAATTATTGACTTCAAAGTATCTTCTAAAATCAAACTTCAATAAAAATTAAGTACAACTACAAATACAACATAGTATATACCACAATATTTTCTCTTACAGACTATAATTAGTCATAAAACACAGAAAAACATTCATCACTATCAGTAATTGAATGAAGGGGCAGTCCACAGCTGCCAATGTATTTTTCACAGCAAAGACTGTTATATATTACTGCTTTATATACAAAATTATTACTCTCTGAACTAAGTTGTTTTCAGATGGGAGATGCTAGGAGTCCAGATAAGGATTATGCCCCTAAATACACTTGAACTAGTATTATTCTTAAGTTTTACAGAATTCTTTATATTCATTCAGATTTAAACCAGGAATTTTTTTTTTTTAATGTCCTGGACCTGGGCAGGACTGTTGTAACACTGGATTTACACCAAAGCTTGGAAGAGTTAATCCAAAGTATTTTTTTTCTAGGGTAAGAAAGAGTTGTCATAAGAGAACTAGAAGACATTGAATTGCCAGAATTACTTGCTTCCAGAATTACTCTATTGCGTTTACCAACCAAACTTACAGAATGAAGCCTGGATTGGAATTAGACCTCATCTTCCCGGAGTCAGGACTAGAGTTAGCATTCATTTACTTTCCTACTTCCATTGTTATTTTAAAAAGAAGAAAAAGTTCATTAGCCCTTTGTTTAAAATTATTTAAACAGGTAAATGAGGACCTACATTACCTCTCTTTTGCCCTGCATTGCACTTGCCAGTTCCTCTGTACAGCTGTACCTTAGCCTCAACAACAGGAGACATAAGAATTGATACCTTCCTTATAGGCAAGTTCTAAAGCTTACGAGGAGTTTGGAAGAGGCTTGTCCTTTCCCCTTAGCAGTCCAAATTCCTTTCCCCTACTTAGAATAGGTGGTAAGAAATCAGTAAAGGGAAGAAACCAACTTACTTTTTAGTTGTTTCCTCAATGATTCTTAGACTACAGAGAGGGTATTCCCAGTTAAAAATCTCATGTCATGTCAGTAATTTATTTCAAATGAAAAGATTTACCCTAAAACTTTGTATAGTTTGTCAGCATATTTGTGTTTCCTCAATGCTTTCCATTCTAGACTCAGCTTCTGTGGCATACTTCCCCTGGCTTTGTGGCCACCTCTCTTGCCTCTTTTTTTCTTGAAGGATCCTCTGCCTGTTAGGCATTGGTGTTCTACAAGTTTCTGTTTTAAGGGCCCTTCTCTTCTTACTCTGCCATTTCCTTGAGAAACATCATTTATTCCTATTGGCTTCCTTTACTGTCTACATTAATTGTTCTTACTTTGAGCGTAGAAGGGAAGCCATTTTGTGGTTGACCAAATAGAATGATTTTTTTAAAGGCAAACATTGAATTGTATGTTCATCATTCTCAAATACATATCTAAACCTTACTCTTAGCTCTAAAATTGTATATTCAATTGCCTACTGGAAGTACCCATTAGGATATCTTTTAGATATCCCAAATTCAGTATATTCGGAATTGACCTCATTCTACAGCTCTACTCCCCTTTATCCACTTTACTCTCACTGCCCATACATGAGCAAAAAGTTTATAAAAAGTATTACAAAGCCCTCCTGAGTCCTGCTTTTCCATTCTCATTGAATAGCCCTAATATCAGCAATTACCAAGCTGCAAGTCTCTGAATCATTTCTGAATCACTCATCAAATCCTGTTGATCTAACCCCCATATTATGTTATCTTTCTACCTCTTTCCACTTCTCCTGCCCTTAATCCAGGGTGTTGCCTCTGTTATTCCAGCAGCCTCCTCACTGGTCTCTCTGGCATTAGTCCTGTATCCCTCCAACCCATTTCCCTACATGCTACTCCAGAATAATTTATAAAGCACTAATCCTACCATGTCACTCCTTAAGGCCTCTTAAGAGAGAGTCTAAAAAGTATGGTTTACAATCTTTTGATGTCGCCTCACCAATCAAAATGAATGTGGTTCAATTTCTGAAAAGAGTACACATCCTTTGCAAATTCTCCTTTCTCCTGAACAGTCTTCTCCCCCAAATTCACCCAGTTATCACTTTCTTAACCTTCAGTTCTCAACACAAATCCTCTGGAAAGCCCCCTCTGCAGCCTCTTGGGCTGTTAGAGGCCTCTGCCATATACTCTCTTCAGCCCTATTCTTCTCTTACCAGTACTGATCAGTGTTTTATAACTGCTTATTATCTGTCTTCCCAATTCGATTGATAGCTCTATGAGACCAGAAACCATGTCCTCTAGCATGAAGCCTGGCAAGTAGTTGGCATTTATTTACACCTTACTGAATAAGGCAAGGGTGTGGTATCTTTGCGCATACGTGTGGGAAAATAATTTAGTAACCCAGAGATATTTGTGATAGCATGGCAGCTGAAAATGAGTGGTTCTAGAATAAGAATTTCCAGTTTTCATCTTTTTTTGTTTTAGAAAATGGGTTTATAAATGTTTATAATTGGTTTATAAATGCTACAACAAAATAAAACTTTAGCTAAGATGTGTTTAATCCTTAAAGGTTGTTTGTTTTTCTATTGTTTTTCTTGCACATAAGATCTGTGCAAGTGAGGGCCATCTATAAAGCACAAAATTAAGGTATTTTCATGTAGTTTTTGAAATACATAAATTTTCTTAGAATTGAGGGTGTCCCTTGAGTGTTTTCTCTTCTGCTTTTATCTAAAAATGATTGAGAATCATGATATGCAGTGTTCTTTTTTCCTTGTAAGCACCTTTTTAAAATTACAAAAGTAGGCAGGGCGTGGTGGCTCTCGCCTGTAATCCTAGCATTCTGGGAGGCCGAGGTGGGTGGATAGCTCGAGTTCGAAACCAGCCTGAGCAAGAGCGAGACCCTGTCCCTACTAAAAAATAGAA